TCCCCTTCTAATATCTCATTCACAAAATCATTTCTTTTAGAATGTCCTGCCAGAAGAGATACCATTTACGCCAACCAGACCAGAGTCTCCAGGCAAATCTCTCACCCCTTCAACTCCCACGTCCTTGAGAGCATGGACTATTCCTAAAATTACGGCCGAGCTTAGGCTCAGGGGAATCCCCTTTCCAGCCACAGCTAGAAAGGCAGAACTTTACAGGCTGCTTACCTACCCAGCCCCTGAGCCTAGGCCTGCTCTCAAGGACAGCCACCAAGCACTGGCACGGCCACCCAGGAAGCAATCTTGGCTAACCTACAGACTCCCCAGGTAATACCCCGGGCCTCCCAGTCTCCACCCCGGCTGTCCCCACTGTACCAGCATGCCCCCCATACTCCCCTCGCCAACACCAGTCAAAGATATAGCTCCTTTTGAGTCACCAGCTCACTCCGTCCCAGACTCTATCAGGAAAGAAATCCTAGACGGGAAGGACGTGTGTCTGGTGTCTCTGCTTATAGCTTCACAGGACATACTGGAGAAGAAGGCTTACAATTACGGGGATATATCAGTAGTGCTTAAGACAAGAGATCCCAGGATTAATAAAAAACTTTCAATTCCCCAGTTTGTGATAGCTTTCGGGATATACCGTGACGTCATCTGCACGGTGTATCCCCACAGAAGAGAGGAGTTAGACCTCTACCTTCACAAGGTGGTGGATCTAGGCATCAAGTACGGGGGCTCTTCTTTCTACGACTATCATAAGTAGGTTTCAGCGAAGGCGGCGACCCATCTGAAACAGTTCAACGTTAGAATTAACTTGTGTCAGATGGATACAGAACTATTCTGTCGCCACTTCGCTGGTCTCAGGCACCCGCCTTGTTCCATATGTAATTCCACATCCCACATGGCGGACTTATGTCCCTCTGAAGCAGATCCCACCACCTCCACTCCCACCCCTCACAACAAACCAACGGGTGGTCTACGTGACAAGCTGGGTAGGCCCATCTCCTTTTTAGGCAAGGCGCAGGTGTACAATAATTTCAACAAAGGCTCCTGCAGTTTCAGCGCATGTAGATTATTGCACATCTGCTCCATTTGCTTCAGGGCACATACCAAGACCATGTGTCCGGCCAGGTTGTCCCCTAACAAATGACTAACCGACATAAATGTCGACAACCTGTTTTTTTTTACTTAAGGTCACACCTTAGCAGGCACCTGGTGGAATATCTGACCACAGGGTTCACACAGGGGTTTCTCACGGGTATAGCAGCCATCCCCTCAGGTACACTTAAATGTCCTAATCTCCTGTCAGCACGTCTAGACCCAGTCTCCACAGACATTCTCCTTTCCTGTGAAATTACCAATGGTTTCATGATCGGGCCTTTCACCTCCTCACCTTTTTCCTCCTGGCGCACTAACCCAATCAGCGTCGCAGTTCACAAATATTCAAATAAAAAATGTCTAATTATCGATTTATCGGCACCGCACTCCTCTTTTGTTCCCAGCATAAACGCACTCATTTCAGCAGACAAGTTCTCACTGCAGAATGTAACTATTGATGATGCTATACAGGCCATCATCTCTTCTGGTAATCGCCCCTGGCTCAGCAAAACAGACATCACAAACGCGTCTAAGTTACTACCCATGCACCCCTCACTCTGGCACTTGCACAGTGTGAAATGGCAAGGAAAGTACTACTTCTCCACATGACTCACTTTCGGTTCTCAAAGCAGCCCCAAACTTTTCAGTATCTTCACTGAGACACTATGCTGGCTGCTTCTGAACGTCCTCAGGTGTCAATCCGTTATTCACTACCTAGACAACTTCCTACTGATAGAGCCAGGGGCACAAACACCCACAGCTATCAGCCGCACTACTGCACTTTTTTCCACACTTGGAGTACCTTTGTCCCCATCTAAAACAATTGGTCCCACAACTTAATTAACCTTTTTGGGGATAGAGCTAGATTCTGTTACCCTCAGAGCTAGCCTTCCCCATGACAAACTGACCCGCTTGAGAGGGGAGATAGACATGTTTGTGCGGAATAATGTTTGCACCAGTCCCTTCTGGGATCCCTGAACTTCGCCATGCGCATCATCCCGTAGGGAAGGTCTTTTATATCCAGGCTTCTTTGCCTACTCCACGGGGTACCGGACTCTTGCCCAGTTTCATTGGACCCCCACGCCAAGGCTGACTTAGCTATGTGGGGGATGTTTTTGGCAGAGTGGAACGGTATCCATGTTTATCCCCCCTCTCTCCACTTCCTCACCCATCATTCACACAGATGCTGCAGCCAACACTGGTTTCGCAGCCATCTTTGGGAACCACTGGTATAGGGGTCACTGGCCCGCTGAGACGGATGCCTTGCAAGGATTCAGGGAGACCTCAGCCCTATTTGAAATCTATCCCATCGTGGCGGCCGCACACACCTGGGGTCATCTCTGGTCCGGCAAGGCAGTAAAATGCTACTCTGACAACTCGGCAGTTTGCAAAATCATTAACAAGA